CTTCTTCCTTTTGCAAAGAGAAAAGAGAAGAGACGAGATACTGGTACGAGATGCTATTATTAAAAAAAAATCCTATCCTCCCCTATCATATCCTTTTTCTTCGAAGAAAAAAGTCAAAACTTAAAATTCCTACTTTCCAAAAATTACTTGGTTGGTCCACTTACTCGGGGAGGAGATGGAGCTGAGGTGAGGCGGAAGACCCGCGTAAGGAAGGGTGGTGAGATAATTTCGAGGCATCGGTAGGCCTGGCGGGAAGAGCTTGGGCGCGGTGGCCGCGAGCGGCTGCTCCTGCTGGCCGCTGCTTCCGGCCCCGGTCGAGTGGGAGTCGCTTCCGGGCGACGAGGAGGACGCCGTGGCCCCCGACGACGAGGACTTGGGCTTGGTGAGGTTGAGGGGCGCGTCGAGATCCTGCAAAGGGGCTGCGGTCGGCGCCACGGCGGAAGAGATCGGCGTCGGCGACGCTTCCTTCTCCATCTGCGTGGTCATCTGCGCGAGATGCGCCGTCGCCCAGCTTGGCCCTTCCCTGTGGCTGCTGATCATCTGTAATGACAATACGTGCGTCGTTTAACAATAATACGCGTTTTGCATCATTCTCGAAATACTTAAAAAAATATTCCTTTCTCTCTCTCTCTCTCTCATTTTTTCTTTTACAGCCAATGAAATCGTAAACGGGTTCGTAACGATCTCTATTCGTTTCGATCTTTACTACTCGGTCGAATTTTTTACTTGGAAAAATAATTGGATCGAATGGGAAAGAATTCGATTGCGGGTAGATAAATAACCCTGTGACGGATATGGAATTGTGACGCTAATTTTAATGCGACATATGTTTCCGATATGGATCGAAACGATATATGGCGCGATACTTGATGAAAAAACAAGTCGAAAATGGAGAAATTGTCCTTCCTTTCGAGAAAGAAAATTCGAGTTTCGAAAAGGGAGCGATGTTCCCCCGATGATCCATGAATTAATACAGTTTCGAGGGACCATGATCGAATGCTTAAAATACCAATCTAAATCAAAACTACGCATACACTAACTGTTGCCAATGCAATTCGTGGATCTACCATTCGCAAGCAACGAGTCTGTTCGCTATATCCGACTTTGGATCGCCTTCGCCGAGATCCAAGTTTTCGGTAAATAAATAATTTCTCCCCCAAAAGGAAAGGAAACATCGTCAAAGTGACGTTTCATCCGAGGGAGATGACAGGAGGATCTTCATCTCCTCGAGAGCCAATAACTCGTCGCGTTTTTCCCGCTTTTTCGACTTCTTTTTTTTTTCACGCGGTTATCAATCCTTCCTTGTCGGTGGCGCCACCTACGCGTCTGAATTTTTCATCTCGAAACGAGGTTGTCTCCCTTTTAAAAGTTTCAACGCTCCCGCCGCGTGCTTGGTTGCGAGCAACGTTTATAAGCGTTAATCAAAGTGGAGCGCGGAAACGAACGGGGAAATTGGGATTTGCGTTGGTTGGGTTTACGTACGTTAGCGATCGAATTGATATGTTTGTTGGTGGTTGTTGACGTCGACGTAACCGGCGGTGGCGGCATAGGCGATTGCACCGGCAACCCTCTGAGCTGTTCGAGAAACGGTAGGAACATCAAGGATTGCGGCCCCGACATGCTCAGCTGGTTCTTTGTCATCTGAGCCTGTAGCTCCTGGATGTTGTGCTGCATGATGTGCTCTTGCTGCCGCTTCAAGTGCTCCGTTTGCAGCCGCTGCATCTCGATTTGCTTCTGCGAGTCGACGGTCATGTGCGCAGGATACGACTGCAAAGCCATGGGACGAGCAATTAGAGGGATGATGAACCCCGTTGTCGCGGGAAAAAAACAGAGAATGAAATTTACCCCTCCCCTATTCTCTCTCTCTTTTTTCTTTCTTTCTTTCCAACGGAACGAAAGCCAGCCATTGTTGGCTCGGCTCGGATATTCATTTTCTGCTTTTCAGTTGGAACGAGAAGAATGATGAAAACGTAATGTGGGAAAATTGTTAGATCCATAGATGGTTTGACATTTCGAATGACTATCTTCCCTCCCCATTTCCTGCTTTTTTTTTATTCCTTTTCTAGAAGAAGTTTTGCTAGAAAATGATGGAGTTTTATGTACGTACTTATTAAAAAAATTAGAGATTAGATTATTTCTGGAAGTAATTCCCGGAAATATGTGTGTAGTATTTTGATAAAAATTTAAATCAAATAGATACACAACTCGAAGTACAACTCGATGATAAGCATAAGATATATTTACGTACACTTTATGCATACTTAAATATCCGAAGTTATAATTATATCATTATCGCGAGAAAATACGTAACGTTAGCTGGATCTTAAAATATATCAAATTTCCCATTTACGAACTCATTTCTTCCAGGATTTTACAGCTTCCAGGGAAACCGCTAATTGAAGAAGCGTGTACACAAACTCCATCACTTTTTCCTTCCATATGTAATAAAAAAAAAAAGAATACAAAAACAAATGATAAAGATAGGGAGTCCGATATTATATTAATATCCAGAAACGAAGTACGTATACGCGAGAACGATTTAAACGAACATAACCTCTAAACTGGCAAATACGAATTATAGAAGAATCATCGAGTTTTTTTCTTGATATATACACAAGTATTCGCCTTATTATTTATATCACCTATATAATTTTCTTTCTGTAACAGCCGATAAAACGTTACGCGCTCGCCTAAACTCGCCTCCCCAACATATATATATATATGTATATCTAAACTATAATTTAATCTCGTTACCATCGAATCTTCATCTATCATTACCAGAGCTACCATGGATAGAATATCGAATACCTGCTACGTTCTACGCACGTTTTCCAATCGTGACTCGAACACCTTTTTTTTCTTTATTTTTTTTTTTTCTTCGACGACGCGGCTAGAACCAGTTCAACGCCGAGCTTTCCCAGAAAACGTAATAAAAGACGCGGGATCGGGCGTGATACCAACTTTAATTGCCGGTTATCGGCCGCGTGAAACGGAAGCTGGCACGGAGCTGGCGAGCAAAGAGAGCGCGATAGAAAAAAAAAAAAAGAAAAAGAAGGGAACGTTATTGCCACGAAGTGTCGCGATAACACGACACATCGTATCCCTTTTAACGTGTTTAACGCCTCTGTTTTAACCACGGGACCTCCTCAACCGCCTCGGTGGCTCCTCGCTCTTTTCGTGTAATTAGATCGCTAATAAACCTGCTCGGCCAGCACAGATGACGGTCGTTAGATGTCTGGCCGCGAGAGGCCGATTCGATCGAACAGTTTTTCGACTCGAGCCGATATTCACGGTTTATTTCTCGCGAAACTTCCGACTCCGCTTATGAAACGCAGATAGCGCGGAACCGTTTTTGCGGTTTTGCGCGTTGCTTCATGAAAATTCCGTGTATTATGCGCATTATTAATCCCGAGAGCTCGTAACGTACCCTTTCTTTCTCTCCTTTTTTTTCTCTCTCTCTTTCCTTTTCCTTCTTCTTTTTCTTCCTTTTTTCGCGCGTCCCTGATGTGCTCGCCGCCGCGACGATTCGTTTCGACGCATTGTTCCGCCGATTTGCATTGAATGCGCGTGAAAACGCGTAACGAGCGATCTTGAAATCGTGTAATCGATGTTTTCGATTGTTCCGTCGTTATCTTACAAATACGACTCGTTTTCTTTTTTTTTTTTTTTCGAGTTTCGCGGAAAGTTTCGTCGCGTCTCTTTCTACGCGTCTCTTTCGAAAAAAGAAAAAAAAGAAGACTATTTTTAAATCTTTGCACAATCTCTGCTAAAAAAGATCGTATTAAAATAAGTATACGTTCTTGCTTCTTCACACTTTTCTCTCGATCTTTTAATACTCTCTGCTAAACACAAATTTGGACAACGAGAACAGATAGCCGCCCTCCGTGAAGAGTGGACCAATCATCTCTGGACGGTTTTCAAGAATCGGAAACCGGCCACGTTGACCCTTTTTCCCGCGTATGTAGGACGGAAATACACGGCCAGCCACGCTGGTGGTGGTGGCCAGGGGTTAAGGTGGCCGGATGGAATTATTTCTTTTCCAGCGGCGTCCATTAGTCAAGAGCCGGTTGCGAAGGTGGCGCTATTAATTCAAACGGGGGACAGGTTTTCAGCGCGGCTCTCTCTCTCTCTCTCTCCCCCGTATAGTAACCAGTAGTGTAACAATTCAACGTGGTTAATATCATTGTATTTTCCTACGACCTGGCTTTGGTCCAGATATGCTTGAAGTTTAAAGTCTATTTTGGACGATAAGGAAGACGTTTATTCATCCAGCCTGGGCACCAGCTGAAACGTCACACATGCACGATATTAGGCGAGCCTTCTCTTCTTCTTCCTTTTCTCCTATTTCCCTCTCTCTATCCGCTTGCCTTTCGACGAGCGATTATTAATCCTCGATGCGGATTGTGGAAGATCGCGGCACGTGATTTACGATCGTGCGGAGGACACACGCGGAGGATAAACCTATTCCTCGCCTCCCGTTTTCCCTTTTTTATATTCCCTTGAATGTAAGGGAGGAAGAAGGAAGGAGGAGGAGGAGGAGGAGGAGGAGGAGGAGGAGAAGAAGAAAGGAAGAGGCGAAACGCGTTCGATGTTTGCCTTTCCTTCGGAGAACGTTACCATGTGACTTTTTTTCGGGAGAGCCTGATGATTCATGTCGCGGGGAGAAGAAAAGAATTTAACGCGGTAATTTCGGTCGGGTTATTTATAATGGATGGTTGAAAAACGAACGATGGTTGGGTATTATGGATTTTCTATTTTTTTTTTTTTATTTTCATATTTTCATTGGAAATATCCAAGGATTTGGAGAGGGATTCGCAGGGAAAAAAAAAAAGAAAGAAGAAACGTGAAGAAAATGGGGAAAAATGCAAGACACGGAAATTAGCAGATTTATTCGCTGCGCGAGCACGAATAACGCGTTGAGCGATACCGGTTATTTGTTAGAGCTTGAAAGACGAGTCACCAGTTTTCTCGGGCACGGTTCTTGAATGAACCGAGCTGGGCCACTTCATAAAGGGCGTGCAACTCCAAAAATATCGTACCGTGAAAAACTGGTGGAACGATCAAGAAATATCGCTATTCGCATTCTTGCTTCTTGATGAATGCTTAATGAACATAATCTACCCTTGATAAATCTCTTAAAATTTCCTACTTTTTTTTTTTTTATTAATTTTCCATACTTTTAAGACTATTCCTATACGGTGGAACTGAAATTTTTAACATTGTTCGAGATCGTTGAGGATCATAAGAAACTCATAAAAAAAAAAAATACCTTGTAATTTCCATTGATCATTGATTTTTCGTCATTAAATATAGGAAAACAATAAAACGTGGTCGTTCGTGAACATTACACTCGCAATAATAATTATGAATTATCTACGAAAAAAGAAGAGGAAGAAGAAGAAGAAGAAGAAAAAAGATATCGAATACATCGATCGACGTACGTAGATGCACACGCGCGTGTTTAGTGTTAGACTTCATTGTTTTGCCAGCAACGGTTGGTATCGACGGTAGGATATTCGCGTCTATCGGCCGGATCCGCATATTAAACAACCTCTGTATGGAAATGCACTCGTTAGCGCTAATTATTCTTACCAACTAATTGCCCAGTTGTGTACGCCGTAAAAAAACAACATTGTGGAGATCACGAGAAAAACTGACTGGACAATCAGTTTTTTTCCATTCGAAGCCCATTCCGCGTGGAACATTTTCGATATATTCTGAATACGTCATCGGCAGCGTGGACACTTTACCTGCTTCGTTCCAATGAATTTTCTAATTCCCCTCCGTCGAGAGAGAGATCTAACCTGTTTCAAATCTAATTTCGATCATGAGGATAATTATCACGCGGAAAAAAGTTTCATTTCAAGCGAAGAAATAAATCACTTAATCCTTAAAAATTTCTCTTTCAACCGTATCGTCTATTATATCCTATCCTATTATATTTAGAAATCATCGAAATCAAAAATTGACGTAACGATTAATTAATTAAATATATATTCCTATCGAAACGAGTTCAACTAAATTTGTTTCGAGATAGAAAAGATAAATTCTGCTGGAAGTTTGGTCTGCGAGCGTTCATTAACAGACTCGTCGAGCCGGTACTCGTGGTCGGATACGTAAACGCGAACAATGTCCGACGACGGACAATAAACGGGCTGTGCAATTTCAGGAACCATTCTAACGGACGGGGCTATAATCGGCATACCGGCACCACAGCCAATGGAACTTCATTATTCATTTGCAAAGTTCAGTTATGCCGATGATACGTATCCATGACAGCTATACCGCCCACAGTGGCTAAATATAAACAGGCGGGGTGCCAGCAAGTTCCATTCACATTCACATCCACACACGAGGCGACTCTCGCTCGCCGGTTCAGTAAGTGAGCATAAGAATATGAGGAGCCCCGTTCTGAATATGCATCCGCGCATTGACGCCAACTGCACCGCCTAAACTTAGCCGCGCAATTACCGAAACATACCTACCCCCATAATCGCTCTTCTCCCGGTTATCTCTGCCACCGGTTCTTTCCATCGACCAACACACCGCCTATCGCGGATTCGTTTGCATACCCGCACCGTTTCATTTGTTTCCGAAGGGAATCAGATCCTTCTGCACTATTCGAATTCATCTCTGAACCAAGATCTCGATTTGGATATAATTTTGAAGAACATCAATTTGATTCGACCGACTTGAAAAAACTTGATGAGCGAGAAACGTATGATTCGTTTAATTTTGCGCACAAGGAACGATCGTTTGAATTTAGC